AAATCTAAAACTAAAAGAAAGTATTTTTGTTTATTTTTATCGACAACTTTGCTATTGCTGAATAATTTTATTAAAATGTTAGCTTAAAATGATTTAAAATTTTTTTTAATCTGAATTTTTTCTACTTGTAAATAATGAGCATATTTAATTTTTCTGTAATTCAAACTTTTATATCAACAGCGTGCGGTTTTTAAAATACTTTATTAAATGTTAAAATAATCATAAATTACTTCATTAAAATTCCGCTCAAAAATATCTTTAAATATACTCAAAAAATTTTTTGCTCGACGCATATAGCCTTAGCTACACGCAAAATCGCTCTTGGACGACGTAAAACTCATCTCGCTCGACGCTTTATCGCAAGGCCTGATATATATATATATGTATATATATATATATATATATATATATATATATATATATATATATATATATATATATATATATATATATATATATATATATATATATATATATATATATATATATATATATATATATATATATATATATATATATATATATATAGGCTTAGCCAGGAAGGCAAGCGATTTCAAGTCTTTATATGACTTGAAATCGCATAAATAATAATTTGTTTTGATAATTTAACCACGGTTTAAAATGCGCTAAAAAATTGGTTTTAAATTACGCTGAAAATAAATGTCTTCAACACGTTTATCTTTACTAACGTTTTTATATTAGCAAAACGCTTTTAAATTAAAGTATAGAAAGTTGTACAATTTTTTATTTATTTTTTATTATAATGTAAAATGAAAAAAGTAAAAATTTAAAAAATGAATTAAATTTTATAAGCAACGAGTTTAAACAGCGAAGGTCTCTTTAATAAACTTTATATAAGAATCATTAAAGTTTTTGTGGAGAAGAAAAAAAAGACAAACTTTTTAAAAAGCCATTTGAATTAAATAACTTTGATCATTGCTTACATTTTTATAATGCATTTAAATAAAGTAGCGCATTTAAATAAAGTAACAAATCACTTCTGATGTTTTTTATTAAAACATTAATGAATAATATATTTATTATGTATATGTGCAAGTTAAAAAAGTCATTTTCAATGCTTATTTTTAACATTTAAGGGACTATAAACAATTCAGCAACATTTGATTGTCAAATAAATTAATTTATTTGACAACTAAATTTTGCTGTAATTGCTAGTGCTGGGCAATTCTATGTGAAAACATCAATTTTTTTATAAAATGCAATCCTGAGTTACAGATTTTGCTGAATTTTGCACCACTCAAAGATTTTAATAAGTTATGAACATCCTCAAAATTTCATTATCTAGTTCCAAAGAGTTTTAAAGATATAACTTTTTTAACTTTGCCTTTAACCAACAAAAATCTGTCATTTTAAAAAATTGTTTTGGTCTTTGTTTCTATTCTCTGCACAACAGAAAATATGTATAGATATTTTGAGGCAAGGAGTCCAATAAAATAACTTAAAATAACAGGAGGCTACTAAAAATTTGCACAAACTTTGAACGTTCAAAATTTGCAAACAAATTCGAATATTTCTGCAGTTCGAAGTTAAATATATTCACTAGACATTCTTATTTTATAATCCGATACTGATTTTGGCAATTAAAATTATATAAATAAAATGGATGGAATTAAAGAAAACAACTAACTAAAGCTTAATGGAAACTTCTTTTTAGATAACATAGTCAAAGGGAAAACATTTACAGCGAACAATTTATAATATTATTAAAAGAGTTGACAACAATATTGACATTAAAAGAAAGTCGGGAAATGGCAGAAAACCATACACAATGGACATAAGTAAAACTACTTTACTCATTAACAAGGCTGAAAATAAAGTTGAAATCTCCCAGAGAAAACTTGCATTAAAATATGGAATTCATAGAAGTTATGTTTATTAAATTTTTAACACGCATGGACGACTGTTAAAACTTTCGAAAACTTTTTTCCTACATTCAAATGAGTTTGAAATTATCATGGATGACGAGTCCTATTTTAGATTGAGCAGCCAAAACACACCAGGAAATGATGGCTTTTATAGTCCAAATAAAGATAAAACTGAAAATAATATTGAATATAAGTGTTGAGCGAAAGTTTTAGTATGGATTGCAATCAGTAGGTTTAATAAATCAAAGCCTTTCTTTGCAATTAAGAATAATGCCATTGGTGCAAAAATATATTCCAAAGAATGCATTGAAAAGAAACTTGTTCCCTTCATCAATTCGCATTACAAAAATATAAAATACATATTTTGGCCTGATGATGCAAGCTGTCATTATGCAAAGCTAACAATTGAAACTTATAAGAAGATTAATATAACCTATGTTTTTAAGGATGATAATCCACCAAATGTACTGCAATTAAGGGCCATTGAAACATTTTAGGCTCACCTATAACAGAGTCTATTCCAATGATTTTAAAGCAAAAAATCTTAACCACCTGAAAAAAAGAATTCAACTTAAGTTACAAGATTTCAGTCCAGAATACTTTGAAAACCTTCTTTGCTCGCTTAAGACTAAAATTCTCTACGCTGTTGATCATGGGACACTCTCAGTTATAAGATGATCTATTATTGCTATCCTTACTTATTTGATCAGTTATGAAACAATAATATCATTTGAATGACGATTATAAGCAATTCTTTTTTGTGCAAATTTTTAGTAGCCTTGTGTTATTTAAAAATAAATATAACACCAGAAATTTGAACCTTTATTTCAATTTTACTGGAGTAAGTTTAAATTTAGTGGTTAAAAGAATTGGAAAGTGGTCTTTTCTTAAACAGAAAAAAATGGTCAAATTTACTTAAATTTGTTACTTATAAAACAGGAATTATAAAAAATCAAAGGCAAAAATTAATTCTTTAAAAATTAATAATTAAAAAAATAATTTATTAATTTCGAAAAAAAAAAATAATACAGAGAAATTGATTTTTATTAATTTTGAGAAAAAAAATAATACAGGGAAATTGATTTTTATTAATTTCGAAAAATTTTTGAACTCAACCTGAGCTTATTAAGATCCTCCTACCGTATATTAAATTTATTTTTTATGAACAAACTGTAGCTCATAACTAAAAAAAAAATTCAGTTATTACTTTCTAATTTTTGAAATCAGTAATAAACTCACTTTTAGAAATAAAAATTCTAATCCACCTGTTTATTAAGAGCCCTTTCCTCCCCCTCTCCACCCATTTATTATATCTCGACAAAAATATTAAACTTAATTTGTCTATTGATCAAAAAAGTTTAATAAGTTTATTCAACTTCCTTCACATCTCTAAACACAATTAAAGAAGATTTTGAAAAATTAGAAACATCCCTCCTGAAATAGCAATAACGAAAATGATGGTAAATAACTTTATTAAATAGTGATATTTTTTACCAATAATTGTCTCAACCAATGGTAGGTCACTGACTAACAAAAAAATAATTAGTTTTCATTAAAATGAATTTAGTCAAAATTTGTTTAGTTTAGTAATAAAATTTTAATAAAATATTTAGAAATATTAAATAAAAAATTCCGATTATGATTCTAAGTGTTTTCTTCATTATATTTATATTATTATATATTTCATTATATTTATATTATATTTTCAAAAACTTTTTACTACCCATAACAGCGAATCTAAAGAAAACCATTTTGGAGTCTTTAGATCAATTCCACTCATTGGTATTAACATTAACTTAGTTCAAATCTTTTGAAAAAGTTCCTTAATTTACTATTGATCCTAGTTCTAATTGGTTCTGATGTATATTAACTATATATAGTTGTCAAAACACAATATTTCTATCAATTTTTCACAAAAAAATACTAGAAATCCGACCAAGAATGAGCTTATAATTAAGAAAAATTGCTAATAAACAATCAAAACAGATCATATTGTTAAACTATAATATTCATTTCACCTAAAAAACGTATTAAAATCTTATTAAAATTTAAACAAGCGACTGTGATTCAAAAAAGGTTTTTTTTTTTAAAAAAGAATCTTCAATCTTCTGATGGTTTTTTTGCTGTAAACTTTTATATTTTATTATACCGCAAAATCATTTTAATTTTTTTCATCTTTTCATAATTCACAGACCTGATCATTTAACGGAAATATGTCGTAGTCAACAAAATACCATACAAAAGCCATAATATTTTAAAATTAAATAAAATTGTGATAAAGATTAAAATTTCAGGTTTTATTTTTTTTATTATTATTATTGTAAGTTGTTTTATTTGATTCCTTCCCCCAAAATATGTAACTGTACACATTTTCAGTTTTCTGTTGCAATCAGAACAGAAACAAATCCCAAAACCATTTTTTAAAATGGCAGATTTTGTTGGCTCAAGGCAAAGTTAAAATAGTTATATCTTTGAAATCGTTTTGAATTAGATGATGAAATTTTGGGAATGTTCATAACTTATTAAAATCTTTGAGGGGTGTAAAAATCAGCAAAATCTGAGATTTAGGGTTGCATGTCCTGGATGTTTTCATATTGAAAAGCCCTGCTTTGAAGAGTTTCAATATTTTGTGAGACTCTAGGGGATTTGTGAAGCTCCTTAATATTGTATATATAAGGCTCTTGTATAGCATATATAGGTTATGTACATATAAAATATAAGATTCCTTGATAATGTATAAGGTACCTGATTTGTGATTTAGTTTTTTTTTTTTTTTTTTGTAATTTCAACACTCTTTTAACTCTGAAACAAAAACCTTGACTAAAAAAGCCAGTGAGCAGAGAACAAGTTGAGTTTGAAGTCGTACTTGATGGACAAAACTCTTTTTTATGTCCTCTAGCCCATAAGGTATCTCAAGGTTTCATCCTTGGTCTTATATTGTTTCTAACCTGTTATTGCAGTTCAACTTGCCGTTAAAATGGCAATAATGATTGCTAAAGTGGTAATGACTATCGATAAATAAAGACAAACTCAGTCTTATCGACAAGCACCTTAATATCTAAATATTAAAACTTGATTAATTTAAGGTTTATAAAACCCAAAAAAAATTCTTACCTGACCAAGATTTGATGATGGCAATTAAAGCTAATGATGCACTACTCATGCGATTGATTTGATCATCTCTTTAGTATTAATAAATATATATATAAATATATGGTATTAATATGTATATATATATATTGTATTAGTATATATATATATATATATATATATATATATATATATATATATATATATATATATATATATATATATATATATATATATATATATATATATATATATATATATATATATATATATATGCAAAAAAAAAAATCAATAAGATAATTACTTAAGCAAATTTTCAGGAATTTCTGCGTTATATCTGTAGTAAATATCAGTAAATGGAGCCAGCACTGCCTTAATAAAAAAAAATTTTAAATAACATTTTCATTCATAATGTGAGATGGTGTTAATACATTAACACATGTCTAAACAATAAAATTATTCTGGGTATTCTTATTATGTATTTAACCCCAGAAAAATATACACTGATGACACACACACTATACCAACTACACAAGATGCTGTTTGAAACATATACAGAAAACAGGTGTCATTTTTACTCATAGCTTGACAAATGCACATTAAATAAATACTTGGTAACCATAGACCAGTGGCAGATCCAGGTCATTGTCCTAAAGGTAGGGGGGGGGGGGGGTAGTTTAGCCAACAAAAAAATTCTGCTTTTTTTTTCTTCAGATAAACCACTTTTTTATTTGATTATTTAGAATATTTTTGGAAAAGTTTGTTACTAAATATATTGAATGTAACTGTATAGAAATATCTTGAAAAAATCAAAAGTTGAAAATAAATACTTAGTTTGTAATAAGGGACAGATTTCATTTTCACGATACATTTAAAAATTGAGCCCGTCAAAATCATGCACAGGCTGCAGTATTGTCTGCCTGTAGGTAAATCTGGCCCTGTTTGTAATGTGCAACAAAAGACAAAATAAAATCTTAGTATTTATATATATTTATTTAATAAAGACTTTTTAACAAAGTTTAACAAACTACAATATAAAATTGAGTTTTCTAGTTTTCGAAGATGCAAAACTATCAATAATCTCTTCAACATTTATGATGCAATCTCTATGGATATGTATCATAGCTAAGACATTTAATCATTCTTGTCCTATATTGGATCTTAACCGAGTTTTGAGTCTTTTTAAAACCAAGAAACTCCGTTCTCCCAAAGCAACGCTAACAGGTAGGGTGCAAAGCAGTTGCAAAATACATTTAATTAAAGGGAAGACATTACCATCACATTGCCTGTATGCTTCCAGTGCACATTCAGGTAGGTCTTGTTGCTTTTTGATTGCGTCTTTCAAGCTCCTAAAATTCAAATTCTGAAGGAACTTTCTTCAGAAAAATTCTCATTAACAGTATTTATATTGGGCAGCCCTTTCATAAAACTCAGTATGTTAGTTATGGATGCTGTTAACTTAGTCTTTGTTTTATTTAATAAATTTTTAGGTATTGCAACATTTAATTCAAAAGAGTTTAAAGTTTCATCAGAAAATCTGAACTGTAAATCTAGAAGTATACTATCAAGTAGCAGTAAATAAACATTGACTCTATAGTAAGTTAAAGGATCATTGGAATTGAGGTTTGCGCGATTAGTTTGTTTTCCTGTAATTCGTGGAATCTTGATTTTTAAACCTAAGTCTTCTAGCAACTTTGATTCAGTCATAAATATAAAGTTAAAATTTTCTTTATTCTGTTGTTTTTTATTTAATATCTTTATGATATGTTTAAGAATAGTTTTGCATATTCCTTATCCAATAATTTTTTTGAAGAGCTTCACTTAAAGAGACTGTGGTATTTAACACATTAGCTAATGAACAAAGTGTTAATACAAATAAGGGCTCAGATATTGCATTTTTTAGTAATGTAGCCTTTGTTGAAGAATCCCATTCATTCCACTGAGATATCAAATCAAGTATTTCTACTATACTTATTAAACAAGATTTAAAACTTAACACAGAATCATGCCGTTCAATCCATCTTGTTTCACATAAGCTTGTAAGCATTCCCTTATTTATATATTTAAGAATGTTACTTCGCTTCGGCGAACCTTTAAAAAATGATATTACTTCTTTCGTTGTGCCAATTGTATTTCTTACAGCTCCCACAGACGAACATTTAGAAACTGATAAGTTTAAAGCATGGTTGTAGCATGGACTTTTTATTGCGTTTGGTAGGATCTTCTGTAATTTTGTGACTCCGTTGTTTTCACCTAACATAAAGCTGCATCCATCAGTACCTATACCAACACAATCTTTTAAATTAAAGCCAAATTTTGTCAATGTGTTTGCAACTGTGTTTGCTAGCAATTCTCCTGTTAGTACAGGTTCATAAGTAAAATTAGAATAATTTTCAGTATGGCAGTTTAAAAAACCAATCAAATTTTCAAGAATTTCACAGGTATTAACATCAATATATCTTAATACGACTGCCATTTGAGAACTATGACTGGTATCCGTCAAATATAACGCTATAAAATTTTCCTTTAAAAATTCTTGTTTTAATTAAGTACTGAATTTGCTGAGCGCATAATTCAATTAATTCATTTTGAATACTTTTACTTATGTATGTTGCTTTAAAACTACAGTTATTCAAATGGTTTTTTTTAATATTGTCCCCAGCGCTCACTCGAAAGTGAAGCAATTCCCGAAGATTGCCATCATTAATTAATGAAGAGTTTTAATTCATTTCAAATTTTTGTAGACGGACATTCATATGTTCTGATGAAATCTGATGCTGCCAACATAGCAACTTTGTGATACGCAAGATATTGCAATCATGTAAGCCTCCATCCTTACCCAAAAGCTTTGAATAAGTTTTAAGAGGTAAAGTAACTAGCTTGAGTAATTGCACTTGACCCCAACTTTTGCAAAAAGAAAGCAATACTTACAAAAAATTCCATAAAGGCATTCTGAAATCATTATCCATATAAACTTCTGTATATGTTTCTCGAATAAACAGCAATTAACATTCTTATCCTTCTTTAGATGCATAGAATATGGATATTTGTAACTTGGACCAGAAACCAATTGCATTTAAATATTTGGTATTTATCTTTTTCAGTTACTTGACGTGTTAAAAATACCCCAATGTCTATAGGCAAACAGTTATCATCTTTTGTCGCGGGTATTGAATATCCTATATTAATGTCTGCGTTAGTTTTATTTGTAAAATTAGCAGCTTCCATACCATGTTCAGGTTCTGGAGAAAAAGGATTAAGTTTCATTGTAATTTGATTATTTTCACCCCCGGTGTTTTACCCTAACTCTTACTAACTAACCACTCTTACAAACTCTAATTTTTGAACAGATTCAAAAAAATTACATTTTTAATTTTTTTTAAAGAATGTATATTTTATATTTTACATTATATTTTATCTAAGATATGCTCACTATTTTACAAAAATTAATAAAATAATCTTTATTAGATAAACTGAAATAATAAACTCAAATAACAGTTTTATCCACATAACACAGAGTATAATTGAAGAGCTTAGTACTAAAAGTACTTAAGTCACAAAAAAATATTTTAAGGGAATCTACTTTGATGAAGGATATAAAACTTTAAAATAGGAATTTAAAATGGCTGATCCAAGTAGATTTTCCCAAAACATTTGACCTGCAATTTAAGTACTTTTAGGATCTCTTTAATTGCTAACGTAACTTTACTCTAAACATTTTAGGTTTCTGAATAGCAAATAGCTATCAAATATAACTTTTTTTGTGCAAGAATTATATATATGAATCTTTTATAAGAATGGTTAAAATAACAAAGTTTAAAATTTTGAACAAAAATAAATATTCGAAAAAATCAAAAGTACTTCACTGCATTAAAACTATCTATCAAAATATAAAATGACTTACAAAAATACTTTCAACTTAAAATGTTAAACAAAACAAACTATAAAAACAAATCTATGAAAAACTTACTCTTTTTTAAATCTGTTTTTAATTTACTAATTGCAGTATCAAGCTGTTCAATAAGGGTTTGCTTTTCTTTTACTTTTTGCCTGAAAGCATTGGCTTTAACTAATAATTCCATGGAATTAGATTCTTTTGTCTGAATGCTAAAACGTTCAATTTCTTCGTTTAGGGTATAGATACACGATTGAATATCTTTCTTTCTCTTTTTTACACAAACAATTTCTTCAGTGATAAGCTTTCTTTTTTTCTGCTTTTTTAGTAATAATTTTTTCCTTTTTATTTTCATCTAAATATTGCACATATCGAGAATGAGCTAACTTGCAACTCTTCGTTAATTCATTAATTATTGTGAAATTTTGAACATCCAGTTTCGATGCGGTTAGATGGTCATAAACAGTACGCTGATTAATCAAAGAAATTTATTGCATGTTCTTAATTAAAAGTTCTTTGTTGACACTAAAACCTCGCTCAACAGCACACTGACTGTGAGATAAAGTGAAAACTAGGATGCAAATTTTCTTTAATAATTCAAAATGTTTGTTCCCATCCAAGTAAGACATTAAAAACTTGTCAAGTCGCATTTTTAGGCAATCAAATTGCCTGAACTCTTCCTTATTAACTGCTACAACAGATTTTGTAAATTCTTTAAACTGATCTTTTGCAGAATCAGCTGTTTGGGCCAATATCAACTTTGATCTATACAGCTTATCAACTAGGAGACCGTAACAAGCAAACCCCACTTTTTTATTATCAACCATATTATTAGGGGATAGACATGCTGCATTTCGCATTAACATTTATTTTAAAGGACTTCTTTCTTGCAGTTTTTCAGCAACTTTAACCATCATATTAATGCAATCTTCTTTAAACTTGTGTTTTGCAGTTTTGCATGGGAATTGGAGCAGTACTGTGGCTCAGGAGATTCTATGAAACAGGTGGTACTGGATTACATGTTACCAGTAGCAGTGTGACCTGACCTGACCATAACTGATTGATCGATACAAACTCAAACAAAATTTAAATTATTAAACTAATACTTTGATAAATACTAAAATTTTAACTATTTTTTGAAAAGGGTGATCTAATCTGACTGATTGCAATAAAATGATAATCTATAACTCACACTGCAAAACTATCTTATTCAAAAAGAACTTAGACTTGACATTGAAGTACTTTTCTTTGCATCCTAAAAATATCAAAAGAAGAAAAAAATAAAGATCATTTTAAAAAAGTTCCATGAGTTTTCCATGACTTTCAATGAAAATTTAGGAATTCCATGACTTTTTCCATGATCAAACAAAATTCCATGACATTTCCATGATTTCCATAATTTCCGTGACCAGTGGCCGCCCCGTCTTTACCCTGTTGGTCATTGTAGCTAATAAAAATAATTTCATTATAAATAGTAAAATTCATTTGTTATTTATTTATTTAAAATAGTAATTCACACACTTTTGTTTTCTAGATAAGAAACTAATTTATAAGAAATTCATTCAGTTACTATTTCAAATGAAAAATTCTTCATATCTTATTTAAATACAACTTAAAGTGTATAAAATCGTAGTATAAATTGAAGTGCTACAATATCAATTGTTGAAAAATAAATACTTTTTTTATTGAAATTTTAACTACCAAAAACGGCATCGCGTATATAAATTATACTACAAATTAAAATTAAATTAATAAAAAAAAACTTACCATTCAAACCAAACCCATATATATATATTTTTTTGTAAGTTTTTAAAAACAGTTTAAAAAGTTTTTCAAAATAGAACGATAGTAATTTTACTGTTTTTTATTGTTATCTACTTATATAATAGAATGAATGAATAATGATAACATTCAAATGTTTCGAAACTTTCTTCGTTTTTTCTTCGATATCGCTAAAATGCAACCTTTAGTGAAAACTACTTTGAAATGCTAATTGAAAACTCTTAATATAGAAAAAAATTTATTAAATTTTCAAGTTCATAAAATTTTAGTAGGCTACCTAAAAAAAAATTTTAGGTAGCCAATTTTTTACATATTTTATGATAAAAAATTTGTCTACATTTCTTTTATTTATTACTTAACTAATTTTTGACTAAACTATATACAGAAAACTACAACACTTACTTATACCACTTTTTAACTAACAATTTATAACCTACACCATAAACAGAGAACTACACCACTTACTTACATTAATTGTTAACTAATAATTTATAACCTACACAATATACCAAAAATTACACCACCTACTTACACCACTTACTAACTAATAAGTGGTGTAAGTAAGTGGTGATTAATTAAACTGATGGGATGAGGTCTGCATTTTTAAGTTAATTTTATTATATGGTTATAATTTAACAGTTTAAAGAAGAAAAAAAGATAGATATCATACAAGAAGCAGAGGATATTATACAAGAAGCAGAGGATATCATACAAGAAACAGAGGATATCATACAAGAAGCAGAGGATATCATACAAGAAACAGAGATTATCATACAAGAGGCAAAAAATATTATAGGAGAGGCAGAGGATGACTAGAAAATTAGTTGATCAATTGGGCTCCATCAATTTTTTTAAATAAAGTTTTAACATGTTTTGAAAACTCATAACTCTTGTTAACTGATAGGTATTTTGCAGTCTTTTGCATTTTTATTAAACTACAACCTGCTAGCAATTGAATACTATATTTGCAACCTTTTTCTTAATTTATTTGGTACAAGTACGCATTTGTAATCTAATTTGATGCTAAGCAGTTCTTAATAGATAAAAAGTTGCAAAAGATAATAAATTGATGAGTAAGGTTTTGTTATTGAAAAACCAATAGCAAGTCATTGGTTTGTATAAAAATGAACATAAACAATTAAAATAATGGCAGACACTTGAATATTTTTGAATTCTGGGTTTGACAACAATAAAAAAATTACTTAACTGGGAGTGCCAATAATAAATCTCTGTTTGGTCAAGCAGTCAACATGCAATGAAAATATGCAATCACGCTAAGCAGACACAACACAACAGTAGGAGAATCATTCTTGAGTTCAAAAATCAATATTTTATTTTGAACAAAACAGTGAGTGGTATAATAATACATTATATTATATAAAAATTTGTTACATGCTGTAAGAACAACTTTTTTGACCTTAACCAGCTTCCTAAAACAAATGGCTTAAAGTGGGTTTAAATTGGTCAGCAGAACAATGGAAAATAATTATTTTCAGCAATATGTTCAAATTCAAAATTGTTACGAAAAAAAAATAAAAATTTTTTCCTTATAACATTTGATGTAACACATACAAAGTTGTATTCAAAAAGATGGTGGTTATGGTGGCATATCAAAAAGAAGGTGGTGGTTATGGTAGCATACCACAAAGATGGTGATTCTAGTGGCATATTAAAAAAATGGTCGTTTTAGCAGAATATCAAAATGATGGTGGTTCTGATGGCATACTAAAAAGATTTGGTCATTGTAACATTTGATGTAACATTTACAAATTATACAAAAGAAGATTAAATCATGAAGTATTAAAATACTTCATGACATAAAAACTGCCTCATACATTGTGATTTAATCAAGGCTGGTAAAAAAAAAAGCTTATTTTAGCAAGACAACTCTCTATGTCTCTTTAATGGTTGATTATTTTGGTATGAGTCAAATATTGCTTAACCAAAGCAATATTTGACTCATACCTTGACCAGAAATATTTTAAAGGTGCATTTAAACTTTATTGAGCTTTTTACTTAATTTTTTTTTTTTTTAGTTTTATTTATTTTAGTTTTATTATTTCTAATACTTTAATTTATAAAAAAATTTGTGTTTTTTTTTTTTTTTTTGTAAATGAATTAGCACTTGACTAATAAAAAAATAAAAGCAAAAAACACCTGTATCTGATTTTCTTTATGTGCAAGTCTAGACATACTTTACTAAGGAAAGCAATGTGTGTTCAAACTTTCTGCTTAAGGTTATTTATTTGTGATAACAGTCTATGATAACAGTTTATTATAACAGTCTATGATAACAGTTTATGATAACAGTCTATGATAACAGTTTATGATAACAGCTTATGATAACAGAATATGATAACAGCTTGTAATAACAGCTTATAATAACAGCTTATGATTACAGAATTGATAGCAGTCTATGATAGCAGTCTATGATAACTCTAATTTAAATATAATAACTTTAAATAAATTTTTATTACAGTATTTAGAACTGACGAACAATCCTGTATTAAAACTTTGACAATAATAAAAAAAACAATGATTAAATGTTACACAAGGGATCATAGATTTGAGAACAGTAATACCTCAAGTCCGTAGTTTTTTCTTACATAGCATCTATAGTGAGGGTGATTAAGTAGAAACAAAACTGTACTGATGAGTGCTTCATTCATTCTAGGAAACTAAAATTGAAATATTACGAGATAATTAAACACTGTAACTTCAAACTTAAAAACAGTTGAAATTTCAAATGCCAGTGAGATTTGAAACCAAACATTTCAGAGTAACAGTTGGCAAAAGAATACTTACAGTACAATCCAAAGTATTTAAAATAACTGCATGAACCACACCACAATATGAAGCTACAGCAATATTTGAAACAGCTAAACAGACGCACAAAAACTGTGTAAAATTTTTAATTGAAAGTAGTATATTTTTTGAATTTTAGAATTTTATTATTCTAAATTAATTTCTTAAAATTTTCTAAATTTAATTTTTTAAATTTTAGAATTTTTATTCTTATTTATTATTGTTTAAAAAAAGAATAATATTCCCAAAAACTATTCATTGATAATTAACTAAAATTGAATTAGTTAATTATGATCAAATATTGATTTGCTGGTTTAAATTAAATGTTGATTAGTCAATATAAATCAGGTTCTAATAGTTGGTTTAAATAAAACATAGATTGGTTAGCTTAAATCAGAAAATGATTAAAAATTGGGGTTTAAAAAAAAAAGATACATTTAACTTTAAAATACATTAAAACTTAATTTGAAACAAAAAGCTCTATGCTAATTTGGGTTATAGTAATAAGTCTGAAAAATGATATAAATTACAACAAATCTACATAACAAACATCAAGGTTTTGGAAAAAACTTTTTACAGACTTATTTACTTTCGACTTATATTACAAATCAACCTGCATCTTGTTAGAACCTACATCTTCTTTATTTCCAGTAATTTCTGTGGTACCAAAAGGTTCTAGTCTTGTATTGTTTTTGATCTATTTTAATGATCTTCCTGACAATCTTACATTGTGGCTTTGTTGATAAAACTACTATATAATCCTTGAAAAGGAGTTTTTAAGCTTAAAAAGGAGTTCTTAACCTTGAAAAAAAGTCATCATTTTTGATTGCTTAGAATAGAACCCAATCTTAAATCTGATCTCTCTTCTGTGACAGCTTGGATTTTACAGAGGCTTTTGAATTTTATCAATTATCACAACTTAGTTGATATTCCTATTTGGTATTTTCTGTGGTCTTAGAGAAGTAAAAGTATTATAAATAATAATTAAAAAAACTATTTTTTTATCATTTTTTAAATAATTGTGAAAATCATTTTTAACATTCAAGTAAATAAAGATAAAGAAGTTACCTAATTCACATAACGTTGCAAGACATGGTCTTGACATATGATCTTTTTCAGCTGACATATCACAACAAATAGCAGCTAAAGACATTCCTAATGATATTGGAAAGGACTCTGGACATAGATAAACTATCTGAAAACACATTTTTTGATTGTCATAAAAATTTAATTTAAAAAAAATATATTTTATTAAATAAAAAATCATATTTTATTTGAGTTACAAAAAAAAACTACCTTTCTAATTAGCCTTAATGCTTGGACACGTTCTGAATCATCTTTTTTAGCAAGGGTATCCAGTGTTCTGTTAAATAACATCATTTCAAAATTATAACAAAAATTAAATGTGCAGGTAATATTTGGAATTTATTTATACATGTATTTATTTATACATGTTTTTTCACATACATATTATTTTTGATCAGTTTTTATAAAAAATAAGTTTTTAAAATTGAATTATTAAACCCGAGTGTGCTTTTGCAGGCTTGGGTTTAAAATAATAACTCTGAAACTTGTTTCAGAGTTATTATTTTAAACTCATTCTATTCACATTTGTTTAAGTGAAGAATTTTAAGTGGCCCTATAAGTCATGTCAGATGGCTCAACATTGGCAAACATTTTGTGACTTCCTACTTAGTTATGAGTATCACAACTGAATATCTTATTATAAAATATATATATATATATATATATATATATATATATATATATATATATATATATACATATATAAATATATATATATATATATATATATATATATATATATATATATATATATATATATAAATATATATATATACATATATATATATATATATATATATATATATATATATATATATATATATATATATATATATATATATATATATATATATATATATATTATCACCAATATAAATAAAATTGATTTAACTTTTTAACAATCTGACATCTGACAATCTGACTGATTCAGGAAGCAGTAAGGGCTTCGGTACATACATTGACTGGTATAGAAAATTGTTGCATTATCAACTGAGGGTTTTATATATATATATATATTTTAGTGATAATATATATATATATATATATATATATATATATATATATATATATATATATATATATATATATATATATATATATATATATATATATATATATATATATATATATATATATATTATAGTAAGGCATTCAATATATTTATAACTGAGTAGTAAGTCACAAAATCTTTTACCATATCAGTTTGATTTTTAAGAATTCATAACTGAGAAAGAATGTGATACAGAGCATCATCAAGATTATCTTTTACTTTGTTGTTCAAAAAGAAGTTTAAAGTAAACTTGCCATCAGAACAAGGCAAGCGACTCTCGATTATCTAAATTTATATCAGTTAAATCAGGTGCCCTAGCCCACATAAATGCTATTATCAAGCCAATACTGAGCCATCTGACAGACCACTAAAAGTCTCTTAGAGTAGATGGTGTGCAAGCCATGAAAATGGATTAATCTCCTTTTTAATCAGTAGTAATACAAAAGACTGCAACTTTGCAGTTGACTTAGATATAAAATTTAACTGACAAAGTTTCATCTTTCACAATAAAATTATTTTGTGGGTGCTCCTGTGCCATGGCACACCGTGCCCATGCCTAAGTGTATATGTATAAAACTATATACAAATATCTAAATAATATATATATCTAAAATAATAGTATATTTAAAAGTCTTTAGTATTTACAAGTACTAATTGCATACATCTATAAAGTACTAATAATATACATTAAAATAAATAATATACATCACTTCTACTATTACTTGCTTTTATAATAATTTAATTTATAACCTTATTATGAAAATATCAAGCCTCTGTTGAAGAAAAATTTTCAAACTTTCAGCATCAATAAGCAGATGTCTAAATGCTCTAAAACATGCTGCTCGAACTTGCATAGCTGGACTTATTAGTGCAACCCTCAAACTAAAAATTAGATAATATTATAACTATTCAAATAATGAAAAATATAAAAATTTAATGCAAATAATTAGCAAGCAATGTATAAATAATAATTCCAGGAAAAAAAATTATGTTTTTAAAAAAAAAACTAAGCTATTGCTTTTTATTATCTCTTGTTTAATTAAACAAAGTGGTAAGGACGAAAGGCTATATCAAGGCAACAAATAAAAAACAAAGTATTAAAGATGAAAGACTGTACAAAGTAATTCAAAAAATAGTTAAAAAGAAAGTATTAATAATAGAGAAATTTTATACAACTTTTTGTTATTTTAAATTATAAAAAAAGTTTCAACATTAAAAAGTAAAAAAAAAAAAACACTTATGCTAAGTAATGCTTCAGAGATTTAAGAAAATATATTTGAGAACTGTTCATTTCAACATCTCCAATTTTGGTCAAAATTGAGATATTGCTACTTAGGGGTTAACAATGTGGTTTGGTACCATTTTTTGCAATAAAAAAGCAGTATATCCAATATTTAACATTGAAAATGAGCATTTGAAATTGAAAAAATAAACAGCTCAAAGAACTATCATTCTTGTTCTAGTCTAGTTATTCTTGATTCATACAAACAATAATAAACTTAATTGCCTTAAATTCTGGTGGTCAACTTAGCAAGAGCATAAATTTAACTTTATTATCATCTCATCATGATTAGATGGTACAAGATAAGACCTTAAATTTATTGTTAAATTGACAAATAAATAAACTAAACTTGTTCTTAATAAAAGAAACTTCAACAATAATTTTAAAATTTTCAAACTTTATCGTGCACCTAATTGTATGCCTTTGATAAAGAAAAATTAATAAAACAAGCATTTTTCAAGATAAAACTTGATAGTGACATCCTAGTTAGAAGAAACATAAAAAACATGCAATGTTTTCTAAACATTCAGAAAAGAAAATACTTTAAACTCTATCATGTTTAAAAAACAATCAACTAAAAATTTTATAGCATTTATTTTTTTTGATTCATTTTTAAAAATTTAATTGCCAATACATACATACATACATACATACATACATACATACATACATACATACATACATACATACATACATACATACATACATACATACATACATACTAGGGCTGTACCGGATTTCGGCTCCGGCTTCGGCTCCGGCTCCTGCTCCGGCCGAAATCCGGCCATTTTTACAAATCCGGCCCAAATCCGGCTCCGGCAAAAATTTAGCAAATCCGGCATAATTTTAGCCGGAGTTTTGAATTTTGTCAAATATTTATTACATTTTTTTTGCCCGTGTTTACATGTATACCTAATATTTTATTTATAAAAATCAATTTTTTTTTGTAATTCTATATTTTATCAACCTCATATTTGTTTTGGTATTTGTATTTATATTTCTTTATAATTTAATAAGCTTAGTCTAATTTCAAACAACAACGCAACAAAAAATTCTGAAGGGAAGACACACAATATTCTACAATGATGCAGGTATAAAGACTATGATGTCAACCCTAATCAAGTGATTAGATGAGCGTTTTAAAAGCATTGAAAAAAGAAACCTCTTTATATACTGACGAGGCTGGTTGACTCACAATTTAAAACTAAATTCTCCTCATTACAGGCAACACTGACAGCTGAAAAAACAAGATTGAAGTCAATCTGAGCATGCTGAACAGAAAATTGACAAAACTGAAGAAAATCCACCAAAATAAGCCGGGCTTAATAATTTTTCTACATCATCATCATCATTACTCTGGTAATTTATTGATAAAATTATTCAGTCTACGTCCGCTGGTGGCAGGGCACATAAACAACAATTACTAAAAGGCATTAAAACTCAACTAAGGAAATATCCGAAAGAACCAGAAATAAATAGACACAATGATCCACTACAGTGGTGGAGCGACAAAATCCCGGAAAAAAAGTTCAACAAAATTACTATAAACTTTTAAAACATATGGCCTATAGAATTTCTTTAGAATTTCTATTAATTTATATATAGAAATTGCTATAAAACTTTTTAAATAACAACAATGAAGTTTAACAGAAAACAGCAGTCACTTGGTATTCTGAATAGTCCACATTGTTGACCATGCTCAACACCAAGTAGGGATGTACAGGATTTTGGCTCCTGTAGTTTTGTTTTGAAATCCGGCTCCGGCTCCGATTCCGGTCGGATCTGTCAGTAGAAATCCGGCAAATCCGGCTCCGGCCGGATTTGAAAAAATTAAATCCGGTACAGCCCTAATACATACATACATACATACATACATACATACATACATACATACATACATACATACATACATACATACATACATACATACATACATACATACATACATACATACATACATACATACATACATACATACATACATATAAACTTACCAAGCTGATATCTGATCAAAAGTAAAACCAAAATTTGAAGTTGAAGGTACACAACGAACAAACTAAAATGTAGTAAAAAGCTTTAAAAAATTTGGAATTAATTCTATAAAAATTAATTCTTTAAAATACAAATAAAAACATATAAAATAACAACTAGTTTTATTTAATTAACATGTCATCTAATTTTAACATGATATTGTTTTAATCTAAATCTAATTTTAACTTGCAACAATATATCGTTAACTTATAGCTTTAAATTTTTCAATTTTAAATCCATGTTATGGAAAAACAAAGAACAATGAAAAAAGAGATTGCTGCCTCCAACCCAAACCTTTAGTCAACGTAGCCACAATTTTTCAGTCATAGCATTTAGCAAGTCATAAAACAAGAATATTGAAAACCTTATTGACTGTCAGACAGTTATTTGACTCAAGATATGAAGTTAAAGGTTGTTGTTAGAAGATTGTTGTTAGATGGTTGTTGTTAGAAGGTTGTTGTTAGAAGGTTGTTGTTAGAAGGTTGTTGTTAGAAGGTTGTTGTTAGAAGGTTGTTGTTAGAAGGTTGTTGTTAGGAGGTTGTTGTTAGAAGGTTGTTGTTAGAAGGTTGTTGATCAACAGCCAATGCTTTGATCAACAACCTTCTTACCAGGCCTTTACATAAGAGGCATGCAGCCGCACACCTTATATGACCATGCATATAATACTTTGTTTTGACAACTTTCCCACAGCTTTTTGCAAGTTTTGATAATTAGCCCTTTCGCTAAATGCACTTAAAAAAACAAAGCAAACTTAAATTTAGATAAACATGCTATAAACTAAAAAATGAATAAAATCTAAAACAAAAAACAAAAATTACAAAAAAATTAAACAAAAAATAAAAATCTTAAAGAATGACAAATAGAAGAAAAACCAGAAAAAATTAAAACATTTTAATTTAATGTTTACAATTTAATGTAAACTTAATTGTGAGTGAAAATTGTAATCACAGCTTTATTAATTTTTATCATTCCCTTCCATGAAAAAATAGGCTAACACAAGGACAGATCCATAGTGAGGGAGAGGGCCATAAGGGTGTCTGACACTCTCCCCAGATTTTTTTTTTTTTTTAGAAATCGCTATATATTTAACACAGCACAAAGTTTAAAAACGTAATTAAATTGTTTGATAGTGTTTAAGTGTCTGAATTTTTTTTTTTTTAATCTATTTGTAAAATTTATTTATTTATTTGTAATGTAAAATTGATAGCTTTTATACTCATTTCTTATCTCTTGCCTTAAATTCTAATCTGATTATTTTTTTCAATGATCCCCTTTTATTACATAGCAACAAAGTACTCAAAAATTTTGAATGTAATACAGAATGTAATACAAAATGAAAAATTACTTAAAAATTCTATTAGCATTAAAGACTTTTTATTACTTTAAAAATTTGTTATATAAATAGATTTAAAAAAAAATTCAGACACATCTGTTTCATTTCTTGGCTGGCATTGAATATCATTGCTGAAAAAAGCAATATAAATATAAAAAAACAAAATTATTACAAAAAATCTTGAATTAATGGCATCAGCAAACCATTTTTATCTATCTTAATAACTTTTTTATAAAATTTAAAATTTGAACTACAAAATTTTCTTAAATTTCATGGCATTTTTAAATTTAAAAAAAATCTAATTTAATTACGTTTTTAAACTTTGTTCTGTGTTAAATCTATCCATTTCTTAAAAAAATTAAATATTTAGGGGAGAAGGCCAGCTGCCCTCATTTCCTTCCTCTCATTATGGATTTGCCCTTGTGTTTATTTATTCCTATTTATTCAAGGAAAGGGAATGAAAAAGATTGATAGAGCTGTGATAATTTTTTATTTTATTTCTGCTTACAATCAAGTTTACATTAAATATATAATGTTTCAATTTTTTCTGGTTTTTCCTATTTATTTTGTAATTCTTTGAGATTTTTCTTTTTTATTTAATGTTTTTTGTTTTATATTATTTTTTTTTAGATTTTATTCGTTTTTGAGTTATTTTTGGTTTGTTGTTTAGTTTTTTTCGCATTTTTTAAAAAGGCTAATTATCAAAACTTGCAAAGAGCCGAGGCCAAGTTGTCAAAACAAAGTATTATATGTGTGGTCATATAAGGCCTGCAACGGCACACTTTTTATGTGAAGGCCTGTAGTATTTATAGACTTGATTGTGAATAGCTTAGAGAGAACTGAAGAGTACTTGTGAACACTTTTGACAGGAATATTTTCTGAACCGCAAGCTGTAGAGGAATTTAATTGAAATATGGCTTTAGTAGCGGAAGCTAAAGTGATTTGAATGAAAGCGGTTTGAATGGAAGCCCGCATGGCTTACACTAAAATATACTAGTAAATTCAGGGCACTTATGGCGTCCATTTGCAGCAATTGGTAACATATGTTAACATTGGTAAATTTTGTTAGCTGCACATTACCTTTTATAACTTTAATTTTCGTCTAAAATTTATCAATATTGATATATATATCTATAAGTATGGAATTTTATTTACATGAATTTAAGGAATGATTTTTATATCATTAAAAATTAAATTGTGCCATTAGCATATTTTACGGTGCATTATGATCTTTTAAACAATAGCAAAAATTACTGATAAAATCTAAATTTGTTATTTGAAAAGATTATACTTCTTTATTATTTATTTCTTAAAAATATTTTATACATAACATAATAATCATTTGTTTATCATAATTTAGTTTTTTGTTGCTATTTTTTTACATATTAAATGTATTGAATGTATAAGTATTAAATGTGTATTAAATTTACTATATTTATAAACATAATTTGGGTTCGTAAATAAAACTTAAGTCGTACAAACTTAATGAGTTTTTGAATGAGAAAGAAAAAAATTTAGTTTTATTGGTGAAAAAAAATTTTTTAAACAAAAACAATTCTTCTTTCTTAAATCAAAAATGATGTTTTATGGTTGCTTTTACATATTTAAATGGTGGAGAGTTAATTAAAATCTTTTTTACATAACATTTTTAATCTAATGAATTAGTTTGAAAATAAATAAATAGGAAATAATTATTTCTTTGAAAAGTATTGCAAAACCATTTTATATTCCTTCAAAGTAAATTTTTAATTATATAAATGCATAAACTTATAATATTATATATACATTTATAAATTATATAAATGTATATATTTATATCAGTGGTGTACAATGGATTTTTAGATCAGTGAGTTTTGACACATTCACACATTTTGCAAAAACTATTGTATGTTCATACTTATGTCAAATGAGAATGTTTTGCAAAAAATTGTGGTGATTGGAGCTTGAGGACAAAAATATGGTCATAATTTTCGAAAAATAAGAAATTATTGGATAAAATTTGAAATTTATTGATGATTATAAACTTAGATAAAAATACTAAAAAAATTATTTTATCAACTTGTTGCTCCCATGTTAAGGGTTGGGTGGGCGGGAAAATTGTTTTTTTTTGTACCCAAGCTCCAATCACTACAATTTTTTTGCAAAACATTCTCATTTGACATAAGTATGAACATACAAAAGTTTGGAGTTTGCAAGATGTGTGTAAGTGTCAAAACTCAAACATCTAAAAGTCCAGTGTTTTATATATATATATATATATATATATATATATATATATATATATATATATATATATATATATATACATATATATATATATATATATATATATATATATATATATATATATATATATATATATATATATATATATATATATATATATATATATATATATATATATATATATATATATATATATATATATATATATATATATATATATATGTATAGGTATATATATATATATATATATATATATATATATATATATATATATATATACATATATATATATATATATATATATATATATATATAATATATATATATATATATATATATATATATATATATTTATATACATATTGACCAGCCTTGCACCCCTTTCTTCATCTATTAGGCTGGCGCAGATATATTTTTAATACATTGTTTCCAGTTTAGGATGTGGAACGCTGGATCTTCTTGACTCAATGCATGGGTTTTGCTTGTGTTTTTATGACTAGGCAACTCATTCTATTATCTCCAAATGAGGGTACAGCTCTAAAACTCAGTTTTATGGTTCTGAGGCCGGCTGGTAGTTAGGTTTCCCGAACTCTGTGGTAGCTCACAAAGAGGCTGATTCCATCAACAGCTGAAAAATATCAGAGTATTAACAGTGCCATGTTGCGCATGGATGGTGTCTCTGTTTGTACTTTTGGTGTGCATTGCCTAGGCCACATTAAAGCCCTTTGTTACGGCTTAGGGTTTATTAGTGGAAATGAGGCAATTGCTTGGGCTATAAAACAGTGTACTGAGTACTATCTATGTTTCGAGTCAAGTTCTTTAACCAATTTAAAAATGAATAAAGTAACAAAAACTATAAAATACAAAAAACCACAGTCATCACCAAGTTCGCCAAATCTATAATTCACCAAAATTGGTGGTCTTCAAAGTAACTTTTCTTCTGTTGAGTCTTATCTCTTGCAAAGTTCACCAGACCTACTTGCTCTTTGTGAGACTAATTTGAGTTCTTCTGTCTCATCTTGTGATCTTAGTGTTGATGATTATCTTCCTTTAATTCGTAAAGACTCCAATAGTCACATGCTTGGCCTGGGCATTTACATTTGTAAGAATTCACCCATTTGTCGGGAAACTAGCTTTGAATCCACAGACTACTCTTTTATGTGCTTTCGTTTAGCACCACTTCACTCTATCACCTTTCTCTTTGTTCTATATCGCTCTCCCTCATCTCAAGACTGCACTCTTCTTGATGTTATTTCTGATTATATTGACCAAGCCCTCATTCTTTATCCATCAGCCAATATTGTTGTTGTCGGTGACTTTAATGTTCATCACACTGAATGGCTTGGCTCTAGTGTCAGTGACTCTGCAGGCATTAAGGCCCATAACTTTTGCCTTTCTTAATCCCTAACTCAAAATAGTCAACTTTCCAACTCACATTCCAGACAACCCGAATCATTTACCTTCTC